GCAAAAAATAAAAACTTTTCAAATCTGAAGATATCACATGATTCTGCACATAGAACTACATCATTAATACCATGGGCCGATTTTTCAAACTCAAAAAAAAAAAATTCGCCTCCGTATGACACACCCTAATGCATTATTGTACTGTGTAATGTTTGGTTGTGTGATGTTGTGTAGTGTTGTGTTGTGTTGTATTGTGTTGTGTAATATTGTGATTTGTTGTCTACCTTTTTGTTGTGAAATGTTGTGTTGTATTGTGTAATGTTGTGTTGTGTAGTGTTGTGTTGTGTTGTGTAATGTTGTAATTTGTTGTGTACTGTCGTGTTGTGTTGTGTTGTGTTGTGTAATGGCGTGTTGTGGTTTGTACTGTACTGTTGTGTTGTGTTGTGGAAAGTTGTGTAGTGTTGTGCTGTGTCCTGCTTTGTCGTGTTTGTGTAATATTGTGATTTGTTGTGCACTGTTGTGTCGTGTAATGTTGTGTTGTGTGCTGTTGTGATTTGTTGTTTAATGTTATGTTCTGTAATGTTGGGTTGTGTTGTGTACTGTCGTGTTAAGGTTTGTTGTGTACTGTTGTGATTTGTTGTGTAATGGTGTATTGTGTTGTGTAATGTGTTGTGTTGTGTACTGGTACGTCGTGTTGTGTAATGTTGTCTTGTGTTGTGGTCTGTTGTGTTGTATAATGTTGTGTTGTGTTGTAATGACCACGGTCATACACGTCAGTTAACGCCAAAATCAGACGATTCATTTTACGCTCAATAGGCCACAAAACATGTAACTCTGCTTTCGTTTGAGTCCTCCATATGAGGAGTCCGTTTTCTTATCGCTTCAAGACGCCTCAGTCCTCCGTTATCCCATTTTCTCTGACTTCCTGAAACCAACCTCTCTATAAAGTAAATCTGAAGGTGAGAGAGAACACCATTGTTTTGAGTCAACTTAGATATGTCTGATTACAGTTAAAGCATACAAGATCATTTGTGAGTGATGTTGAAAGCTTTGACTGTCTTTATTGTTCGTATCACTTGTTAAGTAAGTGAGTGTCGAGTCTGCCTGTACGAATAGCGTCCAAGGATATTGTCCCTGGTTAGAGCCAGGCATTTCTGAGTACTACTGAAGTTAGATCATTTTGATGCCCAAACATCAGAGAATCTGATGTTTGTAGTTTAGTTAATGTCAGTTGTCTATTCAAGAAAGCCATTAATCTCCTGAAAGAACATGTCAAACGACTAAGCTCCAAGATCTCAACCTATACCCATAAAGGGTCCTTGTCTAGAAATTCGCTTAGGTTGGGAGAACTAATGTTATCAACGTGTGTATTTCCACATTTTCCTGGCAAGCTCAATCTCTGATTAGATTATATGAATAGACATAGGAAATTACCCTGATCAGGAACACTGAAGTTCCGAATTAAGTATACAGCGATCCAAAATGGTAGGGAAGGTCTGTTGTAAGTGAGATCAACCTTTCTGGTATGAATGTGGGGGCCCGAGTTGCCCAGCGGGTGCACGTATATACCCCTACACGAGGGAGAATCACGCATTCGTGACTCTCCCTCACCGTATCTCCAAGTATGTTAACCAGTGTTCCATGCCACCATATTAATCCAGTTTAACTTTGTCAATTTTGTGAATATTAGTGTTCATGTTGTAACAGTGAAATTATCATTTTCCTAGTTAAAGGATTAATATAAATTAAGTGTCGTCTAGACCGTTGCCAGATGTATGTTGTATAGTTGAAGTTAAATATTCAGGCATTCGTGAAGCTCCCTCAACATATCTCCAGTGTATTGAGCTGAATATTCATCGGCTACCGTGGGTCGGTAGCCAGGTTGACGATGCCGCTAATTCGACAGGATTAAACTGGGAAGTCCGTTTCCTGCAAATCAGGCGCCAGCTCCCTTGGTGTGTGTCGGTTTACGGTCCGGATTCCTAGTCATTACGACGATAATGACGATTAAGATCATCACGATGCATCGTGTGTCGGGATGCAACCACCCAACGATAAGCGCCATATTCCTAGTCACTTACATGAGCTTGTAAGTAGGATATAGCGTGTGTAAACACGGCAGTTCGTGTCGGATGGCAAAACTTTTTTTGGTCATGTGCGAATGCCAAATGCATTATTTCACATAATTAGAAAGACGGTTTAGAGAGATATTTCGTTGTTATTTTATACCGCCACAATAATATATTGTAAAAATTTTTTTTTATCAAATTGAACTTTAGTATCTGTTCGAAACAAATTACAGATAATTTTTTTATCTGAATACTTGGCACCAATGTTTGCGCGGTTGTTATCAAACATGGAGAGGAGAGAGTGTTCTGCAGCCCTGTCAGTAACCCAGCACATAGCACTTTTGCGCCTTATCGAGCAAAGGCCAATCGTCGAGGACAGGTCTACTAGTATAGTAACACAATAAATGATAGCAAAAGAAAGGCCTGGGGTGAAATTACTGCCTCATTCAACGCCAGCAACCCAGACCAACCCCCTTGCACAGCCAAGCAGCTCAAGAGCTCCAACATAAAATGGAAGTAAGTTTGTGCTTATTTCCAAGTTTAGTATTTAAAAATACGTTTTTTTTGCCATTAGGTTACTAAATTGAGTAGGATTACGGTATTTAAGTGACGGGTCATGTGAGTAGTCCCACCTCCTACCGAAGCAGACAGAATGAAAGCTCCCATCTCATCTCCCCATTTTCCCTTCCTTAATATAATTTTATGATCTCGTTGAGTTATATATCAAAATAAATATTTTTTACATCTACTTTCATAAATTATATATGCCTATATGCTATTCGATGCGGGTGTCTGAGTAACATTAACCATATAGTGTAATATTTGTAAGTGTAACTTTTGATTTATTTTTACTCCTAAGAGTGCTAGGTTAAAATTGTGTATGGTATCTGAAAAAAAATATGAATTCATAATGAAGGAACTGGTATGCAGGGTAGAAAAGTAAAATATTGCCTCAGCCATACTGTGTTAGGTTCTCTTGTTTTAAATCTTTAATTGCCAGTGATTAACTTGAACAAAACATGGAACACTAAGAATTAATGCTTTATTTTCATGTTTTATTTGTAATTATAATTATATAAAAAATGACAACTACTACATTTTTAACACTACAAATCGGTAAATAAAAAAAAACATTGATAAAAAATTATGGTTAAGTGAAAAAAAATGTGGATCAGTCATATTAATATTTGGTCAGGTGGGTTAAGTTAAGGTTAGGTTAGGTTAAGTTAAGTTAAAGTTAGGTTAGGTGACGTTAAGTTAGATTAAATTACAATTAGGTTAGATTAACTTAAATTTAGTTAAAGTTAGGTTAGGTTAAAATAAAGTTAGGTAACGTTAAAAATAGGTTAGGTTAAGCTACAGTTAAGCTAGGTTAAGCAAAAGTTAAGCTAGGTTAAGTTAGGTGTTAGGTTATTTTAAGTTAAAGTTAGGTTATTTTAAGTTAAAGTTAGGTTATTTCCATGTTTTGTGCCAGTTATTCACTGACAATGGGGGGTAATTGTCCTAGAACCCAGCTATACAGCATATATCTCTATATGAACCATATATTATTCTACAGATTTGGTGTACTTTCTATTATGTGCCTGGCAATACACTCTTGGCAAGCCAAAATATTTTGGCAAGATAGCTTCAAACAGGTCTATGCTCAGTTTCTGAAGGGTCACCTCCAAAGACTTGTCAGAAGCATGAGTCCTCATTACCAGCATATCATAATAAATTTTAATGCAGATATGAATGTAGCCTAGTACTGTATAAAGCATTTATTTTCTTCTGTTTCTTTCAGAACTAAAAACAGAGATATAGAGAGCTAAAGAAGATAAAAAAAGACAGGTGGTGGTCCGCCAGAAAAACTATCAGAAGCTTCAAACGAAATTGCCACCCAGTGCTCGTGTCATGCGGAAGACTTCTGTAAGTGTACTTTCTGCTTAACTTCCTCACTCCCATGATCAGTGCCGGGTTAAGACTTTCGTAGGCCTTAGGCACCTCCAAGATATGGGGCCCCATTTGACAGCATATTCACTAATAACACAAGCTAGTACCTAATTATAAAATGTGATGTCGAAAGAATAAGATTCAGTGATGTTTGCCATGACTTGAGTAAAAGAAAATGGGTTAGATCAGCTGTTCTTGTACAGTACAGAAATAGTTTTGTTTACAAGAAGCACAGCTAGCTGGTGGACACTGGGAGACGACCGGTAATTGATTCTTCTTTTTTTCTCTTATGCTTAGTGCATTTTTATAAATGTTGTTAGTTGTTTGTGATGAATATCTATAGACACTATAGACATGGTACTGACTGGTGACAACTGTCATTGTTCTTCTTGTAGAAATTTAATATACTCATATTATCGTGTAGGCAGACGGTAGTGATCTACCAGAGAGTGAATGTGAATTATAGTCCTCTGTGACAGTATATTTACCCGAGTAGCTTTGATTTCTGGCTTTAAACCCAGAGTTGTGAGTTTTTGTGACTACCTAGCTAATAGCTATGATTAGCTTCACCTTTGTCCCGTAGGCTACTTGTAGAGTTTCTGATTAATTGCTCTGTTTCAGATTTTGTGCAGTAGGATCTATCTTTGATTCATTAATGACATAGACGCCTTTTATGCTAGGTTACAATTTTTGAGAAACAGGAAATAGACTGAGAGTTACTTTAGATATGCGAGCTTCACTATAGTTCTCTTTATTTTTCGTAGGCCCCCAATATCTCGTAGGCCCTAAGCACTGTGCCTACTGTGCCTAATGGATAATCCGGGCCTGCCCATGATCCACTTGCTTTGCCTGTTCCAACCCCAGGGACATCAACTGTGTCTTCTGCACAATTTACTGCAGTTTCATCTACTTCTGATTCTCGACCTCTAATTTGTCTTTTGTGCCAAAGATAGAAATAGATTTTCATGTCATTTACAAATATTGTCCAAAGTATAGCAGTTAATTTTTTTTTATATCTATAATATAAGCTGTGAATTTCAGGAAATGCAGCCAGGTATAGAAAAATTAATGTTTATTTTCTTAATTTTTACACATTTAGAAAAAATAAATCTATAATTCTTTCCTTTAGTTGTCTTCATAAAACCTCACAGGTGAATTACCTTACATATTGAGTTATGGTCCATTATTAAAGACCTCAATGAAGTAAAAATTAGACAATTTGAGGCAACGTGATTCTAAGAATGAATGAATACACATTACAAAACAAATATTTTATAACTAATAGAGTCTGAGAAACCGATATTTTATTAAAATTTAATGACATAATCGTTCACCACTTAAAATAATGTATGGAACATAGTAGTTACCCAACTAACTAAAGCTGTATTACTTCTTAATGATTATTATCAAAGTACTGAAATAAACATTAATGTACTTTATTAACTAAAAAAAATGCTCCACTATGTACTCCCTACTTGCTTGACCTTCAAGATTTCCATATCTGACCATTTCTTCAGGGTCGTTAGGGTCTTTGAAATGCATGTCTTCTATGTCCAGTAGAAGTCCAGAAATCAACGCAATATTATGGAGAACTGCACATGCAATTATAATATTTTTGGTAGTAGACAGCTTTGCTCTCACATGTTGCAATACAGCAAATCACCTCTTCCACACTCCAAATGTCCTTTCAATTGTAGTTCTTGTTTTAAGATGAGATCTGTTATATTTCCTCTGCTCTTCATTAGCTGGATTATGGATTGGGGTGAGTAGGTGTGGACGCAACGCATATCCACTATCACCAAGGATAAAGCCTCGATATTCACCGGCCTGCAGACTTTCACAAAGTCTTGACGTTGTGAATGTGCAGGAGTCATGAGCACTGCCCGGCCAGTTTGCGACAAGGTTTGTAAATTTCATGTGTGCATCACATACGGCTATGACATTAATGGAGAAGAAATTCTTTCTACACCTGTATAGTTCAGGATTTGGCTCTCCAGGGCTCCTCATAGGAATGTGAGTCCCATCTATACAGTCTATCACACCTGGCATTCCAGCAATAGAGGCAAATTCCTGCATGAATTCTTCTTCTCGTTCAGGAAAGGGGAATTTACCTGGTAATATAATCTGGTGTAAGAGTGGCAAAAGCAGCAGAAAGATTCAGGACACATTTGCTAACACTTGGTTGAGATATGTCTGAACAGTCTCCCAGAGTTATTTTAAATTTCCTGTAGCCATGTATCTCATGGCAACTAGTAGCTGTAAACTTGGAGGAATTGGATTGCCTGAAAGGAAAGAGAGAAAAGAAAAGATAATATACTATTACTCGTAAAGTCTTAAGGATTTAGCCCTCACAGGGCAAAAATTTATGCTGTGCAGTACTGTTTTTTTTTTATTGAAAATAATCCCCCTCACTAAAAACCTACTTCATATTTCATGATCATGACATTTATCAGCTGTTCCTCAAGCATCTGATTAGCATTATTATACTGTATTGGAATCATAAATAATTGATAACCTCTATGGCTCAGTGACATTGGAAGATGATGTCTGATTTTTGTAAGCAGCTCCCTGGTGCTGTCCATAGTTACTCTGTAGCACTGAATAAATTACTCTTAATTATAATACTGAAAAGGATCTCGTCTTACATGAAATCGTCGCTTTCTCATATCATCAAGCTGACTTAACATCCTTATTTCTTCGATGTCATCAAGGTATTGTCTATAGGTCTGCATGCTGTAAAATCATAACATTAATATTTTATTTGTTTTATCTTAATTGAAATTGTGTTATAAAATTTAGTTCCAGGACAACTGTCCCCTTGAAAATTGTCCCCGGACAAATGCCCCCTGTACAACTGCCACTTGGAAAAATGCCCCATATTACCAGTGAAAAACTGGCACAAAACGTGGATATAACCAAACTTTAACTTAAAAAAAAACCTTACCTAACCTCACTTTATCCTAACCTAACTGAACCTAACCTAAGTCACTTTAACTTAACCTAATCTAATTTTAACTTACCATAACTTAACCTTATACAATTTTAACTCAACCTAACTTAATCTAACCTACCTTAACCTAACATACCTTATCCTAACCTAACTTAACATAACCTAACATAACATAACATAACAAAATATTAAATATGACTGATCCACAATTTTTTTTCAATTAACCAATGTTTTTATATCAATCTGTAAGTGTTGTTGATTGAATACATTCATACAGATGGCAGAGTTGAACTGATCTCTCATGCCAGTGCAGTGGGGGCCCCTGCCTTGCATTGTACACACTTCAAGTTACATAGAAACTTCTACAGAGCCAAACTGCGTCAAGTTGACAAATGTGCATGCCATGGGTTGTTCTTTTTGTGACAAACAAGTTTGGTTAATTGTCACTCCATTACTGTCTACTGTGCTGTGAGCTTTTCTGATTTTGTTTAGAATATAGCTAAAAAATGTAGTTATACTTAGATGAATCACAATATCTTTTGTAAAAATTAAAAGCAAGTAGAGTTTTTCTAACCAAAAAGTGTAGTGTATCTGATGTTGCTAGTAGCATTAAAACTGTGATGGAGCCTAGTATTGCAGAACTTTAGAGCCAATTATTTGTATTGATAATAATCAGTACTTATTCTTTATATAATTCTTGCCAGTAAATATTTCAGTTAAAGAATAAAGAAAATCTTCTGCTTACTTATGTTGGCCTATTGCTGCCTGATACACACAGACATTGTAGATCGTAAACCATAGCTTCTATCTTGTTGAAAATAAATATTAAAGTTTATAAGAAACTATATTACTGGGCCCATCCCTCTGATATTTTCCTTGCTAAGCTCAAGATAGGGTGAGCTCACTTGGCTTGCCTTATTCTTGAAAAAATAAGTTAATTTCGTGGTTCAGATGGTTGAAAATATATTACCACGACGACAAAAATATTATATGAATGAATACAGATAAGAAACATACCTTAAATTGTAACAGAAGAAAGTGTTAATTGAAGATGAGGCTCAGCAGTCGTCAGCGAGTCCGAGCTGTGATGTCAACATTCCAATAATGTTTCAAGTTCATAACAGTGTTGTGAAAGTTGATTTATCCGTATTACCACTTCTTTTAATTGTACTTATAAAAAAAAATAATAGCATTCGACGTAGACATCTGTAATAAAGTACTGGAAGAACTTTCAAAAAATATAATGATTATTATTCGTCGTAAGGCAGTTATCAGTAGGGGGTAGGCACCCGATGTTGTTTCCAACAATATAGGGGTATGCCCACTGTTCCCTTCCGATACCTCGTTTATCGGGATGACTAGTAATAGACCAGCTCGAACACTATCAATCGGCATTGTGCTTCGTAATGACTAGGAATACGGCCCGTTACAACCGACCCCTAACATTGATCTTCATTTGTTGTAGAGATACCAGCGTTACCCTGGGGCACTCCTTACAGTTATATGGGCCTAAGTACTATTATTGTTGTATATGATTGGTGATAATATATGATTGGTGGTGAATAACAGGTTGAGTAGTGATCCCATAACAATTGATGGTATCAGTAAATATGTTGTGTGAGTTGAGTACATCAACTGAGGGAGAAATACCATGTTCTGCATTCCGAAATAGCGTGTTGTTATAAATAGTATTTTAATTCGAGATATTGTCCAGTGTGTCATACAGCCATCTGTAGTGACAATGACATAACATAATGATTGTTTAATGATATAATAAGTAATTGAAGTTATTTAATGAATTAATAAGTAATTGTGGATCTATTTTATTAATGGTAGAGTAAGACCTGAGTGTCCAATCTTGTCTGAGTGAACTTAATAGTTGTTTAATGATATAATAAGTAATTGAAGTTGTTTAATGAATTGATAAGCAATTGTGGATCGATTTTATCATTGGTAGAGTAAGACCTGAGTGTCCAATCTTGTCTGAGTGAACTTAATAGTTGTTTAATGATATAATAAGTAACTGAAGCCCTGTCTTCTGAATGATAAAGTGGGACCTGAGTGGTTCAGTCAGGGTTGAGTGTACTTGATTAACATATTGTTCACTCCTTGTGCTAATAAATGTTGAATTGGTAGACTACGAGTATCACCACTCTATCCTTTCACACATTGGTTCTCAGAAAATAACTAACTCACGTGCCTAGAAGCTCGCTACCTAACAGTTAACTAAGATATGTTATATTCTCATAAAATTCTGGGTGGTGGCAGGCTACCGTTGTAAGTATAATAAGTGTGGTAATAAGAAAGACATGGTTTCCCAGATTAATCCATGGTTTAGTATATAACTAGAACAAAATATATGGAAGAGAATATAATATACTATATGAAAGAAAATGAAAAGGAAGAACATTGACTTGGAAAATATAAGCAGAGAAATATAAGAGTTACTTATATAAGAATATATAAGAATATAAGGTATATAGAGATAAAGAATGGAAGAATAATAACAGAAAAGAATATCTGGATGGTAAATTATAAAGAGAAAGAAACGGCCCGTTACAGTGTACATTCACCTCAAGCCCGAAGTGTGCATACTCATCTGCCAAGGTATTCAGGATCTCCTGTAGGCCGCATTCACTGTGGGCGACAAGAGTGAGGTCGTCTGCATACCGAAGTTCAGTAATGGAAGCTGCCGACACCTTTGTTCCTGCCTGGAGTCGTCTTATGTTTTAAAGACCCTTCATAGATTCTCGATGTCCACCCCACCAGCTAAATTGGCACTGGCACAAGTAAGAAAGTTGGTGCTTGTACACATCCTTGTTTTACCCCCGTTTGGATGGGAAAAAACTCATACTGGGTGCCATTGTGCAGGACACTGCCGTTCATGCCATCGTGGAGTTGCCTCACAATGGCGATGAATTTTGGTGAGCAGCCAAAACGGCTAAGAGTGCCACGTGATGGTCTAAAGCCACATTGAGATTCTGGGAGGAAGTTTTCCGCCTCCAGGAAGAAGTCTGTTTATGAGGACTCGGGCGGTAATCTTTCCAGCTACGGACAGCAGCGAGATCCCGCGGTAGTTGCCACAGTCTGACCGGTCTCCCTTGTTCTTATAAATATTGACGATGGAGGAGTCTTTAAGAGCATGGGGGATTTCTTCCTCTTCCCATTTATTCTCCAGGAGAGAATGGAAACGGCTGGAAAGCAGAGGTTCTCCTGCTAAATACACCTAGGCTGGGATTCCATCAGGTCCTGAGGCTTTGTTATTTTCCATCTGTTTGATGGCAGTAGCTACCACATCCAGGGATGGAGGATAGCTGAGGTGGGTCATCTCTGGATTTTGAGGGACCTGCTGGGTAGTCAGGACATCCACATCGGTGTTTCGGTTGAGCAGTGAATGGTAATTCTGTTTCCAGCACTGAAGAAGGATGCCTTCTTCGTCCTTAAGTAGGGAGTTACCGTCGGATGAGCGGAGGGGGGGCTGCGCCGTGAGTGATTGGCCCATAAAATGTTTTAGTGGAATTGAAAAATTCGTGCCTCTTGTGCTGATCTGCAAGTTTTTGTATTTCAGACACACCACCACCATCCATCCATCTTAACGGTGCTGCCCTCTCTTAGGTTACCCACTTTCGGTATCTCGGCTCCCACCTGTCCACCACTGCCGGCATCGATGAAGAGATTCAACATCGTATCAGATGTGTATCTCAAGCCTTTTGCAGATTCCGTACCTGTGTCTTCAGCTGTGGGGAGCTGAAATTTTCTACAAAGTTGCACGTATATCCAGCAGTGGTCCTCCCTACCCTGCTATATGACAAAGAGACAATGGTCACATACAGGAGGCACCTCAAGGTACTTGAAAACTTTCACCAACGTAGTCTACGTTCCATCCTTCAAGTTCGCTGGGAAGACAAGAAAAAAAATGGCAGAATTCTCGCTGACACCAACTGGACTGGCCATGTTACCCCGCATGGACGACAGTAGACTGCCAAGGCAGCTGCTTTACAGTCACCTAACGAATAGTAAACGTAATGCTAGCGGGCAATTGAAAAGGTATATAGTGGGGTGGCATAGCAAATCTATTGTGCATTTTGTGATAAAAGTACCATTTTTGGCACACTTATTGACTTTTAGATAATGAACAAATCTGGATATGGTACCACTGCATATTTTACCCCCAACGGCCGTGGCAGACATTTTTCAAAATGGCGGTCAGAAGACTATGGTGGCATCCTGAAAAGTCACTTCAAGACATATTGCGGGACTAGAATAGTCGCAGTTGACATTCTAAGGTGCTAAAAGACAAGGACAAAGGAGATAAACCCAAATTAAACATGGTTTTATTACGTCATTGGTGAATACCGTATGTGAATTTGCAAATACAGCGATTTGTGGAGCAGTATTCACCAATCTAGGAAGTCAATGATGGGAGTACAGTCCTTTACATACACATAGTACTGTGCATTCAAGTGCAGCCTTTTTGCAATTGCAGCCCTTCACACATCCCTTCTTGCATCTGCACGACACTAGTTCACAACACGTGTGGGCAGCCTCAGGTAGTGTCGTCCAAAACGGCGTGTACAAGTTTTCTGCATTCTTCGACCAGCCCCAGCTGGTTGGTGAAGGCAACTGTGGTGATGGTATCAGGGTTTGGCCCTTTTGACATGCTCCTCTAAGGCTGCCTTTGTTAGTGGGATCAGCTGCACGATGTTGTTTTTGGCGAATAGCTTCCTTCGCGCCTTTTTGATGTCCATGCATGAGCTAGTTCTGTCATACAGAAGAATAACG